AGCAGGACACAATGTAAAATGGCTGTTACAAGTTCGGGTTGGTTTTTTTTTGTTCTGTTTTGGGGTTTTTTTGTGTGGGTTTTTTTGGTTTTTTTTTTTTTTTTTTTTTTTTTTTACAAACTCATCATTTGGAAACATTTCTATTTACATTATCCTTTCTATGTGGGTTTTAAACTCACAAAAACCTTGGCAGTTATTTTTAAACAAAGTCCCAACTTCTGCACAGACCTCTCTAAACCCAAAAGCTGACAGCAGGAGCCCCCACTGCCCTGATTGTTTCCTAACAGCCTGCATTCTTACCAGCTTTGCACATCATTGAAGCCAGTAATTTAGAGACAATAGAGCCCCTTTTCCTCATCTTGCACTGTTTGCTGTACGGGAAGTACGGAATCACTCCAATAATGCTTTTGGCACAGGAGGTTTTACAGGCGTACACCATGATCAGGAGTTCCATGATCGTAGTATTCACATCCCTGCAACGAGAAGCATCTGGTTCTGTATCTCATGCACAAACTCCCCGTACTCAGCACAGTATCTACACCCACTCCAGCGATTTCACTCCAGGGTAGAGTCTGGTGACAGGGCAATCTTCACTAAGAATCCAGCTGTGCACCTCAGGACAGCAAGTGCCCCGGACCCAGCATTTTAAACCTTCACTAGAATTAATTAGAATTATTTCTTTCACCTGGCTTTTTTGGCAATTCAGCAGATTTTGCTATACCATTTTGAGGCTTTTAGTAACACAGCATGATGCTGTAACAAAGTAGTCCATAATTTATCTCCAACATCTATTTCTCCTCTGCACAAAACAGATGTATTTTTCAATAGAGAAGCTTTCTTTAAAAAAAAAAAAAAAAAAACGGTTTCGAACTTTTTTTACACTCCTCTACTGTTCAAGCCAACAGCAGGTTAAGCATTTCACAATTACCAGCTATTTTCTGCCCTAAATGAAAATATCCAGAGTGTATCTTTTTAGATGAGAACTGGTCATCAACTAAGAGACCTACTATCTATTTTGCCATTAGAAATAAGGAAAAAAAGTCTTAGCATTTGTAAAGCTCTTTTCACATTAGAAAAAAAAAAAAGTTGTTTTCTGAATCTCAGGACACATTGTCTAGGAAGTGCCCCTCCTCCATTTAGACCTTTGTAATGGTGCTGGAGATACAGTAGCTGCAAAGAGAAGATTTTAAAGAGAATGACATAAGGAAAAGAATGCACTTGGCAAAAGACTGCAGAGACCCAGGGGAAAGTTTCATTGACATATTCACTGAAAATTAAAACACAGGTTAGCTTATGCTGAAGTCTTCTTTGTGCACGTAGCAAAAAAAGCCCAAACAACCCAAAAAGTCCACAAAGAGAAGCCTCTATCTAGTTAATCTAAGCTTATTATACTGTATCATATACATAAAATGCAAAGAAAAATCAAAACAGAAGCATTCCTATGGACGGTCCATGTCAAAATCTAGCACAGCGTCTTTAAACAGTTACTCACTTCGAAACTGTTTGGATGATAAATACATCCTTTCCTCTCACAGACTCCTGAATCTGCACTCTTGTTTCTGCCAAGAAGAGAAATATGTAATATTTGCAATAGCAAAACTCAGACTTTAAGAAAAGGGTGGCAAATACATGCACATCATTGTTAGGTAAGTTTCCAATTTTGCCAATTAAATGCTCACCCCTGTTTGGCTCTTGATAAACTTGAACCTTCCCCATCTCAACTCCTAAGCGCCTGCAGGAACAGAAAAATAGAAGTCAGTATGGTAAAATGAAGGGCAAAAGAAATATAAAGCCCATACAATGCAACAGTTACTGAAAAGGCTATATTTCGTAGAAGAAAACCAACAAAAGAAAAGCCGAAAGCATAAAACCAGTAATTATAGCGGAAATTTTTTAACAAAACGTCTACAATTTCCAGAAGCTGCACTGCAGGCTACGCTGAAGTCATTTTGAAGTCAAGCTCAGAAGAACAAGCAAGGGAAAAAAAAATAACGCTTGACTACTAAACTATTTAACAATTTCTAATTTTTCAGATGTATTTCTATATATGTTACATATGTTGCCATATATACATGACAACATACACATGCACAATGCTTAAAAGACCACTTTTAAATCATTTTCTATAGAAAAAAAGTCAATGTAGAGCAAACAGGAAATACTAGCGAGCTCTACTCGATGAATAACGGAAGACTGATGTCTGCTGTGTTTATTTCAGTTCAGCATTAACACAAAGCCCCTACACTAAAAAAAGGAGACAATCAAGCATGCCATGCACTTATCCCCAAGTCCTTACAATGTGTAATTTCCTTTGCACTCTCCTTTCTCCTCCTATCTCTAACCTTAGGTATGTAAGCCTCAGGAAGAAACGCATCACATGCAATACTCCTGGTAATGTTATGCATCCTAATACTGGTATAGTAGCACGGTAAAAATTTCCTTAAGTCATAACCATTCCGCTGAAGCTATTCATCCATTCAAAGCTAAACAAATGTCCCCAGCTAAAATACACACTGAACAGTAGCTTTGCTTTCTAACAAAACTCCACTACAAGGAGAACGAGAAAATGATGAAAACTTCTGCCATGATTATTTAACACTATCCAAACGTTACTTTTCCCACATGTTCTCTACAACATACTGCAGTCAATCACAACCTGCCACCAAACAATTCAAACGCATTATTTTCTTTGTCATTGATGTGTTGAAACAAGCCGCACAATACAGCACACTCGACATTCTTGCAAACCGTGGCAGTTTTCCTAGGTAACCTTCCTTAAACACAGAAATCAGTCTTTAGGAAAGTAAGCCCCATGATAATAACACCAAGATCCTAAGCTGCCCTGCAGAATTTTACTTACTCAGCAATCCTCTTCGATAGTTCCATGCATGACGAATTGGAATTCGCTGAAAACAGCACCAGTCCACCCTTGGTTATATTCATGATGGGTCCAATTTCAGTTGATGGCACACAAAACATCAAACCTAAGTTGTTCTTCCGCTTCTAGAAGACTGCAAGAGATCAAAGCTCTGTTAAAGCCACAACGTTAAAAACAAAAAAGAAACAAATTTTCTCAGTTTAAAAAGTGAAGAGCTTCCCATAAAGCCTGTGATTTCCAGCATCCTTAACACTGGTTATCACCACTTTAATAGTGCCAGGAATATATCCTTACACAACACTGTGACCCACAAGCCACACCGTTTACTGACCTAGCTCAGCACACCTAAGGAGATGGCACAAAGAGCGAAGCTTCAGCCTGCATTGCCCTTCTCCTGCCCCCAGGCTTTACACACCCTCCGGCAGAATGTGATCCCCCTAGACAGCCTCCTAACTTCAACAGGGTTTTTTCTTTTCTTTCCCCCCACCCTGTCTTTTTAAATGTTTTCCTCAGGCTATCATGTAGTTACACAGACTCTCTTCCATCAGCTTGTCCAGTTCACTTTCCAGAGCTGAGCAAAGTTAATTGACTTTTTCAAGCTCACTAAGCCAGGCACAGGTAGAATTGAGCTAATCAGAGGTCCTAAGTCCTGGCTCTGCTACATCAGCTGGAAGAGTATTTCCATAGCTGTGTATCTTTCCATCATTTTGCAATAAATTATAAACTTACAAATAAGGATGAAGTGTAAGGAATAAAGCTGGTAGCTGCAAGTAACGACCTCCTGCACAATGCATCCACTTGGTCAAGCAGTTGTTGTCATTCTTTGATACTAATCTCTCTCCTGTGAAAACAGGAGAAAATGTCAAAAGGAAATCTATACAATTATTTTTTTTTCAAAATAAAGGCACAAATCCACCAAGGATTTGATGGGATTCCATCTTGAAACCTTTTATTCTTTTTTGTAATATCACATTTTTATTACTACTTCTACTACAACATCTTGTTCAAATAAAATAGTCACATTGACCAGCAGCCACTGATAGACCAAAGTTGCATTGAACCCAAGAAGTCCTAGGCTACTGCACTTCTGCTGTACAAATAGTCCAATCCATCATCCATTTTAGCACTATGTAGGGGACTGAAAATACCAAATACGAGCGGTATAATTCAAAACAAAGTAAATAGAACTCTGGATAAATCAATAGCTTCTTTCCTAGTAAACATCTCCCTGCTGATAATCATCATTACCTAAGAGTCACACATAATCTGTTCCAAAAAAACAACAGTGTATCAACTATTAAGTACTCCAAAACAGCAACTAAAAGAAAACCCATGGTTTGTTTGTCCAGCAACTGTGGGCTAGCTCTGTAAAGAAACTCACTCAGCCCACCTTTGCAACTAGACATACTCTTGCTCAGCATGACCTCATCACAGAAACTGTGCCCGATTCACTCTCAGTTAAGAGCCAAAGTCAAGTCAGGATCCTCCTAACAACAAATCTCCTCATGAAGCATCTGCGCTATGCTCAATTGCTGTGAATGAAAACCTGTCTGTCATCAGAATTTCCAAAATGTGCAGAAGAGAGCACAAATAGTGACAACTTCAGCAACAGAATCTGAATGCTAGCTAGGTGTTTCGACGCTACCAGAATCTGGTGGCCCCCCCTCGTAAAGCACAACCCCACCCCTTTCAGCCTTTGCTTTCAGACAAGATCAAAAAGAAAAATCCTAGAAAGCAGTATGGTTACAACCAGTCTAAAGCTCAAGTATATCCCTATATCTCTCTCAAACCAAGTACCCAACAACTTGGGAAACCTATTTCTTAGCTAGTGTTTCTCCCTTTGTTCTGCTGCACTCTCCCTCTAACGCCCAGCTGTTAACTAATGGCCATCATCTGTCAAATATTCATTACTGTGTTAAAGATACATCTTAAATTCAACAAAGTGAGCACATACTAGAAATGCTTTTACATCTCAAACACACCTGAAAGTTCCCTGCTTGGGCAATTAGACGGGAACAACGTAAAAACAACTTTCAATGTTACTAAAAACATTCACATGGTGTTTTGAAGACACAGGGTTTTTTTCCAGTTGCTACCTTCTTTACTCCATGGATTAGGGAAAATGAGGAGAGCCGAGAGATCTGCTGAAAGACAAGAGTTGTTGGTTGCTGATTATTGGTCAGGGTGCATTTTACACCACGGTTAAGATATCAACATATTCACAAGCAACACTGAATGCAGCTCTTCACAGAATCATAGGTCAACAATTTCCTTGCGCATGTACTTCAGCAGCAACAAGTGGGCTACAGTGTGTGTGGTGGGAGGGAAGTTGCATTTGTAGGGTAACAGTGATGTATCAACCTTGAAACAGGTGTTGGGATGACAGCAAGCTCACAAAACTTTATTAGACTTGTAACTCATGACTTCACATAGGTACACAGGACCACAGGCCTCTCTCTGACTTGAGGCGGACAAATCTTCCAAGTCTGCATCAGATTTGAGAGAACGCACGCACCAGAGTGGGCTGCAGCCCACGAAACTCCCACCCTTTCTTTTGGGCTGCACACAATGACACAGACACATGATGAACACAACAATTAGTGGACTGGGTACACATGATGCCCTACTCCCACTGGCTTTACACCTCCACAAACTGAGCATGCCCGCACAGAAAGCAACAGGGGCAGGAATAACTGCATGGGATAACCACGGTACTGCAGAATTGATCCCCAGGGGCTGGAGGGAAGCTGAACCCTCTCACCCATCTCCCCCCAGGGAACGTCCCCGGTGCAGAAGGGCCCTCCACGCTGACCTATCCCCCTGAGCTAAGCGGCAGAGGGTCGCCCCTTCCACCCCACACCTCCCTACGAGGCCTTCAGCTGCTCCGGGTCGGTGCCACACGCCCGGGGAGGGGAAGCCCGCCCAGGCACCGCAGGATACCCGGGGCTCTCTCCCCTCCTCTACGGGCAGAGGCCTGGGCACGCCGCTCCCCTTCACCCGT